AAGTTTGAAGAAACAAAGAAAGCTGAAATTTTGAGGAAATAGTTTGAAAATTCTGAAAAAGTAATAAAATACACAAGTAAAGGGAAGGGAGTCCTAGGTTTACAAATAATATTAAGCACATCAATGCAATACACGGTAATCACTCCTCAGAAGAGGGGTTACACGTGGATTAGCGCACCGGTCATCATATCCATATCTATCCTTTCCCATCTCGTTAAGGTAATAAAATGTGGAATTGTTTCGTTACTTATTGCATGCTCTTACCCGTCCCAATCCTATCAGTTCCGGAGGCATTTGGGACTACTAGTCCTAAAGGGAAGGGAGATTGGGCTTTTATGGTTTAAAGGACAAAATCTAGGGCGACAAACAAAACACATAGAGTAGATATGGGAAAACACATAGCATTTAAAGTCTCAAACAAGCCTCCTCAACTTAAAGACAGATTGTTTAGCATGTCTTGCATGTACTGGTTATGGTCTGAATTAAACTTAAAAACGTTAAAGCAGGCTGATTTATCACATATTTTTCAGATAAGAAATCCGAATTAGGCCTTTCCGCTGGTTGTAATTATCAAAGACTGGTGCTGTTATAACCTTTACCCTAAAGCTTGCCTAGGTGAAACCTATAGTCATGATATCTACGCATAACAGAAATATAATGATTTTAAAGAAAAGGACTTATTAATTGCAGGAACATAAGTTCTACAAATATTAAGCAACGTTAATACTGTTTTTTAAGACTTATAAGCGATATAGACGATTTAGAGTCGATTGATTACTCCTATAGGCATGTTTTCTAAGTGTTATTGATTTAAAAATACATTTATAGTCGAAATAAAAATGAAGGAGTCCTATAGGCATGGTATCCAAACTGTTGTTTGTTATTAAAACCTGTGAACATGTTTGCCTAGTGATAGATGCATATGCAGAATTCAAGAAGTCATATAGACTGGTTATTTATATGATATGCAGCGTTATGAAATGTAGAACCTATAGACATATTTTCTAGATAACACAGAAATGCGGAAATTTATAGACATGGTTTCTATATGAAAATACAGAACCTATAAACATGATTTCTATATGAAAATGCAGAACCTATAAACATGATTTCTATATGAAAATGCAGAACCTATAAACATGATTTCTATATGAAAATGCAGAACCTATAAACAAGATTTTTATATGAAAACGCAGAATTGAAAGCAGGACATGATTGCAAAAGTATAATAAATACCTATGCGCATGATATCTACCCCTTTTGCATGCATGATTTACTCTCCCCTTTTCACTAAAACCCGATAAGTTATTACAAATTATTACAGCCCGAAATGAATAAGAAAAGCAAAATTACATCAGAAATTAAAGTACAACCAAGAGGAGCCTAATTCAGACTCCAGGTCTGAAATATGAAATGAACCAACTCCGAAGATCAAATATCCAAAGCCTTTCTCTTACTTGGGATGTGTCAGAGCTCCCTAAGAGTCTCAAATGGACTACGGGCAGTGCTCACACCCAAGTATATTGCAGAATATGAGTCATAGTGCAGTGTGGAAGGGACAACCCTCAAATGTCCAAGTTCAGAGGGAACTCAAGGTCCCAAAGCAAGGTTCATAGGAGGGGGGAAGAACATAGAATCTAAGAGAGAGTGTAAGTGCAGAGAGGGAATTTTGGGGAAAGCCAAGACAAGCTAGTGGTCATACCTAGCAATTGGAGTGTCGGCACACCCCAACCAGCCTGTTAGCCATATTGTTTGAGAGTTAGGATCCCTTAAGGGATCAAGTCCAGACATGAGCAACCACTTGGATGTTGCCATATTCTGAACTTCAACTCAAACACATAGAAGGGGACAAGGGTGCAGGGATTCATAGTAGAAATATATGCTAATTAACATTAAACATAGGCAGTAAAGCAGACAGGGGTGTAGAAGCTATAAATAAACACATTGGGATGAAGCTGAAAATCAAAATAGAACATACCAGTTTCAAGGAAACAAGAAAGGAAAGCAGTAGTCTTGTGAAGCCAAAGTGCAAGCAAATAGTCAGAATGCTATGATTAGAGAACTATGATACTTGAGTAGTATAAAAGTGTTGAATTGAGAGTGTGTTAAAGTATAGAAGGGTCGTGCCCTTTTTATAGTGTAGAAAGCAAGCAAAAATAGGTAAGAAAATAGTTTTAAAATCAATTACACAAGGTTTCCCTCTAATTAAGGGATTCTGATTTCAAACGGGCAAAACTAATTAAGGAAATGGATTCATCAAACCTTTTTCAAACCAGCATAAAATGGGTAAATACATAAAGATCTATTTAAGGACAGGGTCTTGACAGCACACGGTTTGTGCAAATAAGGAAAGGAAATCAGTTAAAAACCAGTAAATCACAAGGTCCGAGATTTGGTATGAATGAACAAAGTTAGAAGGATGAGAAAGATTTTAACTTAAGGAAAATCAGCAGACAATCAATTAGACCTATTAAAAAGGAATTCTGAATCAATCATAAGTTTGAAAACCTTTTTGAAGAAAGATTCATTACATATAAAAGCATACAAACACGTTAAACATGAAAGAAACTTGTCATGCCTTTGTAAAATCATTAGAAAGAAAAGGTTCAACATTGTATGAAAACAAAGATATCCAAACTCATTCAGAGGTTTAAAACCAGTCTGCAAGAGCTAATGGGTCACTGAAATAAAGCCCTAGTTCGAACAAACAAGAAAACATAAAGGAGAGGGCAAGCAAGTTAAGTCGAGACATGTGTAGAGGTTTCAGAAGAGAATTGAAGCTTCGAACATGCTTCTTTCAGAACCCATGAGAGAACATGATAGCAAAGTAACATGCAAACAGTAGCAGGATTCAGAGGATAGAATGGAAAATATTGTTAAGAATAGCAGAGGAAACATGCTTAAGAGGCTCTTTTAGAAGAACTCAAACAAAGTTCAGTAGAAGAAAAGTAGTAAGCACACTTAAGAACGCGGTAGAAAAATATAGTAGAGAGATTCACAGAACATAATGGAAATACTGGTAGGAATAGTAGAAGAAACATGCTTAAGGAGTTTTCTAAAAAGAACTTAAACAGGGCTCGGTAGAAGGCAAACAAAGAACTTTAAGAACTTAGTAGGAATATATAGTAGAAGAACACAAAAGCGTCAGAAAATTATAGCAGAAAAGCACATATAGAAGAACAGAGTAAGATAGTCATACAAGAGCATGATAAAAGGAAGAATACAAGAACACAGAAGGAGCAAGTACACGTAAAGGAAAAGGAAAGTCAGAAATCACTTAAACATTTTAGAAAACCTTAGATCGGAAAAGAAAAACCTTAAAAAAAATAATTTTTGAAAGAAGAAATTGGGAAATGGTTTGAAAACTCAAGTAGAGCATAGATATATAACAAATCTAAGAAAAATCGTAGAAAACCTCGAATGGTTAGGGTTTCAGAAGAACCCTAGAATGAGAAAGGCTTTGAAAAGGTCTCCGATCTGAGTCGGAGAAGTCAGAAACAAACTCATAAGACCAGGATACACCGGAGCAAAGCCGAGGTGGCCGTGAAACCTCGAGCCAGCAAAGGTCTCAGTGAGAACCTTCGAGGTCAGACCCCGAATCTTCAAGTACCAAGTGTTCAAGAGCGGAAGGAGGTGAGTATAGGCCATCCTTGGCCTGAGAGGCCATGGATTCCGGTGAGATTGAGGTTGAAAATGGTCGAAGACGAGTAGACCATGGATTTCGAGGGAGTTTGAGAGAGCTTGAGAGGAGAGGGATTTCAGAGGCGGCTGTTGGAATGAAATGAGGGGATTAGGGTAGTCACTTGTGTTTAATTATGGAAGGGCGAATAGTGGTCGTTGATCTGAATGATCAACGACCTAGATTTAAGAGGGTAGGTGGGGGAACCGGGTTGGGTAGTTTGAATTGGGTTAGGGGTCGGGTTAAGTGAAACTGGGCTGGTCCGAAATTGGGCTTGAAATTGGGTCAATTAAGGGGATCAAATTTGGCTATAATTGAAATAAAAATTGGTCAGATTTTAAATAGCAGTTTTTCCTTTCTATTTTATAAAAATAGTAAAAATAATTTTGAAAGCAAATTAAAAGTACTTGATCAGTTAATAATATATAAATATTAATTTAAAAATATTGGAACCAATTTCATAATTATAAAATGCTATTAGTCTTAAAATAGGCTAAAATTGTAATTATATGCAATTTAGCTTTTAAAATACCAAATAAATTTGTACAAAATGTATAAAAATTACCCTAGTTATATTTTGGTAAAACATATGAGAATAAAGTAAGTTATTCACCAAAATAATAATTTTGGGAATAATTATTGGTTTTTGTACTGCTAAAATGGGCAATAAATCAGTTTAACAATCTTTTAGAAATTAGAAAAATTATTGAAACACTTGGACATACTTATATATGTATATATATGCTATTTTGAAAGTATTTGCATGTAAAAATACATAGGAAAAAATTGGGTATCAACACTTATGGCAATGGCGGGAAAAACATTGCAAATGATAGGTAAACCATTGACATAGATGTATTGGAATGGTTTATTAATCGTTACGTCCGCTCGGGTGCCAATAGATCTAGAGCAACGGTTCTTATGATGGTTGACCACACCGTTGCTATAGCACCAACTATCGCAACGAGTTTTCCTCTGTCTGAAGCAACGAGTGTTCATTTCAACTGCAACTGTTTAAAACCGTTACCATAGAGTTTAATGCAATGGTTGTAAACTATTACCATATTATTTACCACGACGGTTGGAAACCATTACCATATAATTTATTGCAACGGTTATGTACGCTATTGCAACGCTTATGTATGCTATTGCAACGCTTATTCCAATGATTTTATTTCTATTGCAACAGGTCTATTAGGCTATTGTAACAATTTTATTGATAGTGTTGCCCTGGTTATAAATAACATTTACATATATAATTATTTGTAATACCCTGAAAATTTTTTAAATAAAAAGATAAAACACTTCATAATGTATATTGTCCAGTAAGCTAATAATAACCATAATAGCAAAATGTTTTAACCCAATTACATAAGTTTTACAGTTCAACACTTTAAAAGTTAAAGTTTCAATTGTTGATAACAAAAGACTCGTAGAACATCGACAACAATACAATGTTCTTCTTAAGTACTGTCTAGATCTTCACTATCTCTATCTGCCCTTTTTCAGTTGCTCCCCCTACAAAAGAGGATAAATAAAGTCATTACCCTTCAAGGATTGGTTTACCATTATAAGAATGATTATAGTCCATGAACAATGCATAAAGCACAAAGTTTCCACGTGAAAGAAACAAGTTCACACAAATGAAGAAGCCAGAGTTTAGTAACAAATCTAAATCATTAAAACCAAACTTGTAAGCAAATGCATTCAGACAAATTGAGAGTTGTCTGCTTTTCTTATTTTGAACCAACTCACTCTCTGTCCCATCAGCTTACTAATTATAGACGAACGCTTCTTTGGCTTCCCATGTTCTAGTACATGATGTAACAAAACTTGACAACATTAGTGAAAGGAGAACATCTAAGCTAAAACAATAAGAGAAAGAATCCATCCAGGGGAGTTGATGGCATCTCCCTCACGTACACTACAACAATGAGACATATATACTCATTTATCTATTGAAAGCAAATAGCAAGTAATAATTAGAATATTACTACATATGGAAAAATTGATGGCGGTATTCTAAAGAAGGACGACAAACACACACCCCTGTAGTTTTAGCTCGTATACAAGAACCCATATTCTAATTATACTTCAATATACTAAAATTGTGCTGCCATCAACTTGGAAATATGCATTAAGTCGTGAATACACATTCATTCGCTTATAAAGTAGGAGGAGACGAAGATTCAGAAGCACTTGAAAGAAAGATATGTAGCAATTCCAGGAAGAGATTCCTTATGTCAAGCAACTTCGTAGTAGCAAAATACTGTGCAATCGAGTAAAAGAACCACCAACAGCTGGTCAAACAATATTTTTCAAAAACACAACCTCTTGGAATAAAGGCACGAATGGTTTTAATATTCTACAGACAAGTTGAACCCTCTCTAAATTAGCAAATTTTTTACACTAGTCCTAGTAATTAGCAAATTCTTGACACTATATTATTTCATTGATTTCAAGTTTAAATTCCTGATCCACTTTCCTGTGTTCAAAATTAGATACACATGAGAGCCAAGAAGAGAGAAAAAAGCAAATAAATAGACGTCTTTCAGAGTCTTTCAGACAATAGCATGACAGATATTAATACAACAACAACATAGTAAAATTTTACTAGTAGGGTCTGGGGAGGGTAATGTGTACGCAGACCTTACTCCTACCCTGAAGGGGTAGAGAGGCTATTTCCGAAAGACCCTCGGATCAAGAAAACTAAAAAGACTAAGGAAGACGATATTTGTATCACCATCGAAATCCTAGGAAATGAACAACATGAAATCTAGAAGAAAGATGCAAAACAAAGCAAAAACGATAGCTAGTAAATAGGTCCTACAGTAAAAAGTGAAATAGTAAGACACAATGTTGCCACTATTTGTCTTAGATAAAAACCCTACCAGTCTAGTCTCACAAAGGTACGAAGTAAGGCAAGAATCAACTACCTCCTAACCTAGAACTCTAATACTCGACCTCCACATTTTCATTTCAAGTGTCATGTCCTAGAAAATCTGAAGCCTTGCCATATCCTGCATGATCACCTCTCCCCAATACTGCTTAGGCCGCCCTCTACCTCTTCTCGTGCCCTCCATAACCAGCTGCTCACACCTCCTTCCGAAGCATTTGGGCTTCTCATCTTAACATGCCCAAACCATCAGATCCTTGCTTCTCGCCTCTTGTCATCAATTGGGGCTATGTGCACCTTCTCTCGAGTTAAATCATTTCTAATCTTATCCATCCCTAGTGTGTCCGCAAATTGCAAATTAGATAACACTTCAAACTAAAAATAATGTAAGCTTGACAAGAAAAAATAGTGCGATTAATATGGTAATCAAGATAAGCTATATACAGAACATACCTCAAGAAAAGAATATAGCCTGCTTCCTAAGAAATGAATTTAGAAGTTCTACACAACTTAGCACATTATAGTATTTTAATCTAAGCTGCATACACATCCTACGTGATTATCAACTGAAAAATAAATCCAATGGTAGGTAGAAAGTATGACAAATCCATGATACTAAGTATTTCAAGAAAACCAGGAAGGACAAAGAAAGAATTCACGCAATAGATTTACTTATACGAAAATGATGCCATAAAGCAACCTCATAAGTCATGTTTATTTTTCCCAAGAAATCAAGACCAAATCATGGATCGACAACAAAGAAATAAAGACTCCCGTTATAATGATAAAACTATATGAAGCATGCATAACGATTGAAGGTATGCTTTTTCCCCAAATATTATATGACACTATATATCACCAATTAAAAAACTTTAGTAGGTTTCCCCAAATATTATATGACACTGCATATCACCAATGGGAAAACTTTAGTATTAGTTTTTGAACCAATGACAACAACGAAAAGAGAGCAGAAACCCAATCTATCTTCTTACCAAATTAAACTAATAAACAATCAAAATGACAAGATTATCACCCTGTAGAAAATGGGTAATATGGTTCTGATTCCAAGCTAAATATACAATTTTATGAAACAACGGAAATACCATCAGCATCACAAGTATATATTAACCACTTCTGCAAAATCACATTGTAACAGATCTACAATTCTGCCTAGCTCTATCTGCAAAGCTGGTTTTTGGCATCTCTTTTTTGAAGCACAAGGAGCACTATACCATGACCAAGCAACACGTTTCAACTAGATTAGAGTAAAAAGTGCTTTGTCTTTGCATGCATGCTCGAACATATGTACAACGAATATATGTATGACTATACCGCATAAAAAAAGTACTTGCTCTTTAATACTCAACAATTGTCTAAGTTGAATTGTCCTTGACGTAAAGCATGAGTAATTTAAAGCTCACCAATTCCCAGCTCAGAAAATATCTCCTCTTGGATAGTAGTGTTAACAACAACAGCCTCCTGCTTGTCGCTAAACAATATTAAAAAGATCTGGTTTTTACGAGCTTAGATATCGCATTGATCCATGCTCAAACATAGAGGAACCTATTGTAAGAACTTAATTATTCTTAGAACATTCAGCAGTAAAAAAAAAAAAAAAAAATATACCTT